GGGGGATAACTAGTAGGTAGGCATATACATACAAACACATGGATATCCGGCCTAGTACCTACAGATTAATCGTCTCTCAGAAGCTTAGTCTCATGTTGAGCGCCAATGAGAAGAATGAGAGTAGGGATTGCTGCTGAAAAGTGTGCGTCTGTCTGTTTATATTGGTTAAAGCACTAACAGCGAAATTCGCGTTGGTATTCGCGACGAATATGAAATCATGATCGCTACCTGTGCAGAAGCTCCGTAATGGTCAACTCTCACCAATACATTATTAAAAGTAAGTGATCAATGAAAGGAAATACTGCTGATTGTTGCGGGTCTGCCCAAAGGATAGCTGCCGTTGGTAAGCAGCAGAGGGAAGATGGCAACTCTGGAGAGGCTTCTTTAGCTCTTCTGATTGCTACTTGTCTGGTTGGGGAAGAATACATAAATCCCAAATTGTCTGAGCGCAAACGAATGGGCAAAAAGCGGCAATAATAACGCTTTCAATATCTCTCATTGTTCGACAAGTAAGCAATAATCATCAATGCATTTGATGTTTGCACACATAACTTTGTGATTGTTTATTTATAACTATACCTACATACATACATACATACATACATAGCTATGAGCAAAGTTCGCACTAATTGGCTTAAAGTACTACGCCTACTGTAAAGAAAAGCTGTCGCGCTAAGCACAACTAGAGCGTGCAGTCGCGGAACATGTTGGACGTTGCTAATTTTTACCATTTGCAAAATTCTCTTTTGCCTATTTAAATGAAAATTTTACTAATTCTAGCACAAAACTTGGTTGTACAGAAAAATGCCAAATTGCTTACTACCATCCCCCACTAGTAGATATTAAAGATACACAAAAAGAAAAAACATCTTTGTGTAGTAGTGCTTACGCAGCTGTGAGTGTCTCTTTTTGCCTACCAACTTCTCTCTCGAGTGAAGGAGCCACCAGTGTAGTCTGACCAATTGTTCGGTGAATGACCTCTTGCAAACGGATCCTTGAACCCGTTTATGAATTAAGATATACAGTTTCAGTTCCCACTTTGTTTTTTCCTCACTTACCTACCTACTGAGCGGCCAACCTCTCTTGTCGCCAGAAAGCCGTGATCTTCGTCATATGCACATCACCGGTTGTTCTTTTAATATCCTCTCTTTCGCTTCGTTTTTTATACCCGAGCGCACTTGTGCACAAGGGTATTATAACTTTGTTCACATAACGGTTGTTTGTAACAGGCAAAACGAATCGAGATAGATATAGACAAATGTATACATAAATGATCAGAATGAAAAGAGAAATCGATTAAGCGGTGACTGTCTGTCCGTCCGTCCGTCCGTCCGTCCGTCCGTCCGTCCGTCCGTCCGTCCGTCTGTGCACACGATAACTCGAGTAAAAATTGAGATATCTTAACGAAACTTGGTACGCGGACTTCTTTTGGGCATGGGACGGATGGTATTGAAAATGGGCGAAATCGGACAATAACCACGCCTACCTCCCATATAACGGTAATTTTCAGAAATACGAAAAGTGCGATATTTTAGTAACTACTGAAGATAATTCACTCAAAATTGATATTTGCAATGAGTTCTAGACGAAAAATAAGAATATTAAAAAATTTTGGCAAATGGGCGTAGCCACGCCTACTTATGGTTACATGTGTATATCTTGGTAACCGCTGCACCAATTTCTTCCAAACTTGGCACAG